TAACAAAAGTACTCCTACTCCAGTCCTACGATACCCGCCTATTTCTCTGCTTCTCTCTGTTTCCCTCTTTTCAGACATCTAATATACGGTCTACACACGAAGACTTTTGTTGCTCAGTATCGGAAAATTCTGTTGTCTGAGTACTAACAACTCGCTGTCCCTTGTCTTTCCACGTCGTTTTCTCGTCAAAATACTACAAGTGTGGGCGACAAAAGTCTTCGTTTAGTGCGAACGCAGTCTAACTTTCCCAGTATCTTTCAATCAAAATACTAGCCATAATAGTGCCTCCTAGCCAACCACAGCAAACGGTTGAGAGAATAGTAGAAGCTTATTTCTTCTTGAACAATAGAGCAGATCCTGATCAGCAAGCAATTCAAAGATTACTAAGAAAGTCAGCCAAGCTAGGACTAGCTTGAGTTGCAGACCACATGAATATAAGTTCTACTATATAACTTATAACGAAAGTACTGACGAACTGATATAAATTTGAGAATTAGTTGACGATTTCATGTGACGAAAAAATGTTAATTACTCAGAACTATTAAATAAGTGCTGAGATTAAAGATCTTTTACATGGAAAGAATCCGAAGCAGAGATATTTCCGCGACGCGAAATCAAAATTAGAATACTTGCAAAATAGGTCATAAAGAAGAACTTACACGCAAACGATGACAGAGTTGCCATATTTCAAATGTACAATTATAAAAATATAATATAATTATGTTGGAAGTTAAATTCACAAACTTGTCTTCCATTTCTATCGCCACCAACTTGATTAGCTCAAACACTGTGATCTCTTCGTTTCACAGTTGCAAATGTAAACTAAAACTCAATATCAAATTGTAATAATTTTTGGACTTCCCTTTGCATAATTCCGAAGCTACTAAAGTAACAAAAGTTACAATTATTACAAATGAATGCATTTATTTGTAATTTCTCTGTGATGGCAGGCGGCATTTGAGTAAGTTAATGACGTTTGCATTTCATTTGTCAGAAATAGCAAATAAAGTCAAAAGACAAAAGGTCAGCGCTGATTGGACAAATAATAAAGTAATATTAGCGAAATGTCTTAAACATTTGCTTAGCCTTGCTTTGTCGTTGAGCAACAATTGAATCAGCGCGCGAATTGTAGAGAGTACAAAAACTATATGAGTATTTGTTTATAATTTTTGTCAAAGCGTTTGTTAATTAAAAAGGCTTAGTTGTCAAATATAATAGTTTATAATTTTGTTTAAATTTTAAAGGATAAACGCTTTTTTGCGTTGGCTTTACGATAAAGTAAAGAGAACAATGACTGCTTAACTCAAATACTTACTCATTTAGACACTCTGCGGTTGTTGAAAAGAATAACTTCTGAATAATAAGGTTACTTAGTTAACCTAACTGGTTATTTATGGGCAAAGAAATACATACTTACTTGAAATATGTAGCACCCCTAAATATTCTAAGCCGGGTTCTGTTGATATGGTGTTGGGCTAAAGTTGAGAATGTACCGACTACTTTTAGAATTCGAATACATTGCTATCGATAACTACCAGTAGTCGGTTCTTGTGTATGATATTTCTTTTTTAGTAAAAAATAGAAACAATCTGGCAGCATAGACGGTAATTTATAAAATTAGTGAAACTAACTCTGATCAAAAATTAATAGCTTATTATTTATAGCGAGTGTTAAAGTTTGATAAATATATTTTGACTTTAATGTAAGATGGTTAAGGTTTATCGCCGAGAAGTTAAACCTCAGATAGGCTCAAGCAACCAAAAAAATTAAAAAAATTTATTCATCTAATAACCGAATTTGTTGCACTAATGGACAAAGGCTTAAATTAATTTTGATTCCGATAGAAATCGATTAAGCTTTATCGTAGAGTTTATTACCTTAACTAGCTCGAAAAGGTTTAGAAATGTATATAGTATTTACGATATATTTTAGGCGTAAAATAAAATGTGTTTTTTTATTGTGTAGATATTTGGAGAGATTTCATGATGAGCGAAAAACATTAATTCCTTTCACTCAAAACTAATGAATAATAACTTTGAGTACGATACTACTAAATTTGGGGTTAATAAAGAGAGAATCTCTTTTAAAGTTTTTTCGACAATTAAAAAGCACCCTCAGAGGGAATTATGTACAGAATTGAGCCCTTTGCAATATACATACATACATGTATTTGTTTGCTATCTCAAGTTCTGCGAAGAATTATGGAACATTTAGGAATATATGAGTCAGTTGTAGGTTGAATTAGATACTTTTTTCCCAATACTACAATACATACATAATAGGACCGCTGTTAGAAAATAAATTTTTTTATACCTTTGGAATCTTTTAGAGATATGATTTAAGACTTTCATAAGTCAGGTGATACTCCTACACTCAATACATAATAGCAACAGATTTTTATTTACATACCAGCAATGAGCACTTTCACACTTCGAAAATGACGTCACGTTAGCGGTAAAAATCAGTCGAAATAGAAAGCTTACAATATCTTTATAACAGTTATTGAAATCTTTGAGCAAAGTACGACACTGCAATCACTATGTAACGATGTTACGAGTATCTCTCTCAAGTTTTCAAAATAACGTCGGCCTGGTAATGTGCGAAGTGCTATGCTTTTTGTTTTTAAAAACACCCTCAGACTTTGTTCAGGTCTAAAATAGTATGAGAAAATTATGACATACTAAATTTTAAAAGTCTATGGTTTTGGCTCGTAAAGCTCGTGATTTCTTAAGCGAGGAAAAAATAATTAATTCAAAAAGAGAGAAGGGTAGGAGTGACAAATATTTAAGCAACTTATATATCTTAGAGCTTTTGTTTGTCGAAAACTTATAAATCAGAGCTTAAGTAATATAAGATAAAGCACTTCAATAACCCTAAAAAAAGTTGACACATTATTTAAGAGCTTTATATAAATTTGTAATAACTAAGCCTCAAGCAACTACAACTTATAAACTATCTAACTAATTATTTCATATTTATTTTTATCTAACCACATTATGTGTAATTACCGTTAATGTAGTGGTTTGCAATTATACGTAATTTTTTAGTTATACATTCTAACCAAACCACTTACAATTAAATTCTTCATTAAAAACCGTTTTGTTAATGTTTTACATCTAAATTAATTTGTTGAATTATTTATTTAAATGTTTAATCTTTTTTTACTCTCATTGAACACATAGATTATGCATTTACACAAGGGCAAAAAAGGAAAATTACCAAACATGCAATTAAATTTAATAACTATCTAAAATGCGCGGTTGCACTTAACATCTTTCAACAATATCGAAATTTTCTTTTTTTGGTCATATTAAGCGTAAAAATATTTAACAACAAAATTTACAATTTTTTTCATTTTAATTTCGTTTTTTTTTTAATAAAAAATAAGAGGAAGCACTTAAATGTATCTGTATTTGACGTATATATACAAAAGCGCAAGCGAGTGCTTAAGAAATAATTTATGGGTGTACGTATGGATGATAAGTTAGTAATTTTATGTAAATTATTTCCAAATTTTTACAATATATAATTTATACCTAAAGCATGCACAGTGTTGCGGTTAAGCAGTAAAAGTATAGAAATCAATGCGCTATATTTATTTTATTACTTTTCAGCAAAAACAGTATTTACTTTTTATAAAAAACGAAACAAACAGTAAATTATTTATTAAATATATTTATTTAATACAAAATTACTTAAATAACTTTATTAGTGTCATTTGTAGAAAAAGAAAAATAAATTATTAATTACAACAAGAAGATAAAAGTAATTGATTACTGTAACTGAAAATTTAATTGATTAAATTATAATAATAAAAAATACTTGTAGTAATTAAAAAAAAAAATTTTCAAAAGTAATAAATAATTTTATTTAATTAATGAACATATTAATTACCATAGATAATGAACAAAATTTTTGTGAAATTCAATTTGATTAAATTAATTTTCTCAACTAATTTATTAAAAAAATATTTTATTTAAATTAAATAAATAATATAATTAGCTAATAATTAATAATTTAATTAAAATCTTTTTTCAATATTAATTTAATAATATATAATTGATGATTTAATTGTATTACATAATTAATTTATGTATGTTTCTAATTATTTAAATTAATTTAATGAATTTACTAAACAAATATTTTAATTAATTTATTAACTTAAACTAAATGTTAGTTAATTATTTTAATTAATTAAAAAAAATTAATTTATTTTGTGTGAATTTAAAATAAATAATGTATAATTTTTGTAATAAATAAAATTTTCGGGAAATTGTTTAACTATAATAAAGCATTTGTATATGTTTTTAACTAATTTATAAAAATATTAATTACCGTGAATAATAAAAAAAAATATGTAACATTTAACTTATTTTAATCAATTAATAAAAAATTAATATATTTTACTAAATAATAAATTTAACTAATTTTATTTTAATTAATTAATTAACAAATATTTAATTTAAATTAAACTATTAAATTACGAATTTAATTAATTAATACAAAACTAATCTGATTAATTAATTTCTACAAAATTATTTTAGTTTCTATTAATCCAAATTGTGAGTTTAAAATAATTGATAATAATTGATGTAAGACTTTAAAGATTTTAGGATAGACATTTTTTTAATTTTATATAGACTTTTTAATTTTTTAAAGTTTTTACTAAAAAAAAAATTAATGAATTACATTACATAGAATACAAAATTGTAATAATTTTGGAATAAAAAAATGCTTGTATTGTAAAAATAATTTTAAGGTTATTTATAATGTTTTATTATTACATTTCATAAAATAAAAATAATATTTAATAGCTTGATGTAAAAAAAGTTACAGCAAGTAAAAAAATTATTTAAATTTTTTAATGAATTCAGTATGTACTATATACATTTAGTCAATCGGACTGGAGTTTAAAAAAAAGTATTAACATATTTTTATGATTGCTTTGCATTATGTGATCTTTCTACTAGTTTGTTGCTGCATGCCTCAATTGATTTTCGTTTTTTCCATTATCTAAATTAATTTCAGAATTTACGCTTTCGATCTGTTGCCTGTCGTCAACAAATACCTTTTTATATATTTTAATTTTTTATGTCTTATTTTTACACAGAGTTAATTTACATACATTTATGCTATATGAAATGAAAAAATTTCTGCAAACAAACCGTGCTTAGTGTAATTATTTATTTTGCTTTTGCTATTTGTATGTACGGCACAGATAAATAGTTTTAGTGCTTATGCTAAAATTATTTTATGCATTTAAATTTAGAAAACAAAAATATTTTTTTTTGAATTATTATTCATTAACTCCGTAATTACACTGTTTTTTGCTGGCATTTTTATGTTAATTAACTTTTTTTTTCAATCTTAAGGTGCGTACACACATATTTTATTACTTAGACATACAATTATGTAGACATAAGCACATTCAGTCGTTGAATTTAAAAATTTTGCACTTATTTCAATTATTGCTATACTTTATGTGAACTTAATCCCAAAGAAAGAAAATTAATTTATTAAAAAATTTATAATTAAATTACACTAAGTAAAAAACGTTTTTTTTTTTTTTGCAGCGTGTTTTTCATTGCGCTTGCATATTTTATGCCAAAATTATATTATAATTAGCATAACGGGATCTTCATATTTGCTGACTGTGTTAGAAGGAAAGAGCATAGTGTTTGTTATGTGCTATACACTTTCAAACGCGCTCTTTCTCTCTCTATCTCTCTCCTATGTTCGTCACTACACGCTCGTTCTGCACTTTCAACAGCGCTCAATTAGTCTGCATACTATTGTGCCTAACTGTAACTGTTCTATGCATTTTAACTAATTACGCTTGCTCTTATTTGTATTTATACTTAATAACTAACTTATTCGTCGTTTTACACTTGCATCTTCGGTAGAAAAAAATGTGGCATTTGTTGATGATTGTTCAACTACAACAATTTTTGTTTTTGTGTTTTATTTCATATACCTAATCATACATACACATACTAAATACATATCTATAAACTCGTTTACTTTTGTAGTTTCTTTTCAGCTGTTTAGTAAACATTTATCATACGGTAAATTAGTTAATTAGTAACGTGATTTTTAGCTCTTTGTGTTATTACCTGTTAATATTTTTAATAATATTTAAGTTAATATTATTTTGTGTTTTATTAATTTTTAAACATACCTGGATGGCTGAGTGAGCTTTTTTTTTGCAAATATACTCTACCATATGCACACTTTAGACTCAAGTGTTACATTTTACAGACATTTAAGCTTGCGCTCTTGAGTGAAATTTACTTCACTCGCTCTCACTCTCTTTCTCTCTTACTCGTATATATGTGCTTGCTTGAGTATGCATACACATATTAACTGTTTTTGCGCCTTTTCTACACACTGATTTTTTTTTACCATTTTAATTTACTAATTCTCAACTACTTTACGGCAACAATTTTATTTTGATCAATTGCTCTCCAACAACACGCGCTGTAGTATTCTCCATAATAATATTATCGCGGAAAATTACCTTAAGTCGCTCATAACCAACGCCACGCCCATCTAATGCAATTCTGTCCTCGCTTACGTTTTGCTCTTCTGATTTAACAATTATTTTCAATTGCATTTTAGCATTTTTATTTAGGTTGTTTTGTTTTAGGACGTTAGACGCGTCATCGTTATTAACTACTTCTGCTATGTTATCAGTTTTATTAACGTCGTCACTTGTTATTTGTTCAGCTTGTTCATCGTGTATTGGGTATTTATCATTAGTTATGTTAACATTTTTTACTATTTCGTCGTCTTGTTGTCCTTCGCCAGCACCAATAAAATTTTGTAAAATACGTTCGACCATTGCAATGGCATCGTTGTATTATCCGCGATCGTCATCGCGTGCGGCGAAGAGGGTTCGCATCGAGCTGGTGATTAAGTTCCACCAGCCCGCTGCGAACCCAAGCGGTCGCTATAAGCTATTCTCACTGCCCATTTTTAGCAGTTCGAACTTCTTCTTAGCGATTTTCGAATATAAAATATCGATCGGTTGTGATTGATCGTACAAACTGGGCGCTTGCAGGATAATCAGCGCTGTGCCGACCACACATGCAATCGCGAAGATCCACAGGAATAGACGATCCAATACCATGGCAACATATTTCCAATCTTCTTCCACCTGTAAAGAGAATTCAAGATAATGTGTGTTAATTACTTTTTTTTCAATAGATGTTACTAATTCTATTTCTTAAACCATTTGTCAATTGTTCGCTCGAAGCTTTTGTCTGAAATAAAGAAATATAGTACGGAATATTTAAGATAAATTATTTACTTTCGTTCAGAAATTACTGATGCTTCATATCTACGGGTAAAATGTGGACCTGTCATATATTAGCAGAAGCAAATCAACTCTCAAACAAGTGGAGTACTCAAGAGCTTACTTCGAAGATAAGGTTCCACTTTGAAAAAATTATGACCATATTTTTGGGGATGCGGGAACCGAATCAATATATGACCTACAAAAATTAAATCTACAACATTACGTTGAGAGGATGCATTATAGATTGCAAGCAAACAATTCCAACTATTATACGAAGCATAGACAAAAATAGTTAAAAAACAGACATTAACGAAACATAATATTCAAGAGATTTTAGCAATTTTGAAAAATTACAGACGTCATCAATCTTAAATACTGAAATATAAAAATTTTGTGAGCTAATGTTGTCATTAAACTTTGGTTGGTTTAAAAATTTCAAAAAATTAATTTTAACGGTTGATTTGAACTTCTTCCCTCCTAAAAATGTTCACAGCTATTATACAAGAGAGGATTTATAAATAAGTAAATATAATATGTTGTTGAGCGCAAACTTTACTGGACCGAGTTGATTAAAGTACATTAATCGAAAATTGAATTTTAATCCATTTGTAATCTTAAATCAATTTCTAAATATGAAATATTCAGGGATATTTAGATGTACATACTTAGTAATAAATTAGATGACTTGGATGTACTCAAATATTGGCCAGTGCTATGATGTCTCATTGTCATAGATGGAAATATGCTGAAATTGAACTATAATCTCGCCTACTTTTTACGTATCATCTTATCATTTTGAAGGATAAAACTTTCCAAAAATAAGGTTTCGGATATAGGTTAGGGTAGTGTGAGGTCATAAATAATACCACTTGGACAGCTAGACCAGACTGGGTATGGTTTAAAACGACGATCACATATTGACCAAACGCCTAGAACTTGTCACAAATTGATTGAGGTGTAAAACTCCGAGTTGGTAGAAAATATGGTGCGATGTTTCAACATTGGTCTGGCGAAAGCTGGACCGTACAGAAGAAAGTGTCTAGATGTCTCCAGCTCATCTTTCTCATTGCAAATTTGAAAAGTTCTATTCTCAAAAACCTTTAGCCTCTGCGTGAGTGCCAATGGGACATGTGTCCAGTTAGCGTCTTTCATTGCGCCGATGTGAGACTAGCTAAGAGCTAGCAGTTCAATGGACCTTTTACGTTTCCCCCTGCCCCAGAAGGCTATCGTTAATATACCAGCATTATACGACTTAACATTTTGAAAGTAAATAACCAAACAATAAGAAACCAATCCCAACCCGTCTCACCCCAACAAAATTCTAATTAAATTAGGGCTAATAATCAATAATATTATAGATAAGTGCGGGTTGCTGAGCAATGCTTGCTGAGCTCACGCGAAATTCACGAAGACAAGGGAACTTGTCAGGCACCGAGACAAATTTAATATGGAAGTAGCTTGATGCTACTACTATCACTATCAGCGATGGCTTTACCGAGTGCCCTCCACCAGTAAAATACACCATAGATACCATGTCCTAATATGCGACGATCCTATCTAAAACCAGCCAAAAGCGTTTCATTCGAGATTTAAGTGTTACAACTGAAAATCACCGAAATCAGACTATATCTTTTCAATCTTCCAGTTCCCAGTTATTATGAGCACCGTTCCTACAGCTGAATTTATAGCGAAAATGTCAGTCAATTAGCGATATGTGATGGCCATCTTTTCTTGATAATAATGCTCTCTGGTGATAAAAATTATGTCCAATATTATACATAGAATTTTGGCTGCCTTTATATGAAAAATATCGGACAATTTGTGTTATACATTAATGAAATTAAAAATGCCTCGCATAGTCGAAACTTTAATAAATGTAGGTTTTTTGAAAATACCAAATTTAGCGCAGATGAAAACATTTGCAAAATTTACTCTATTTCAAATATTATATTCAGTGCCCTTTAAAAATATCCAATCGATTTATTCACAGCTCTGCTACTAATTGACCTTGTTCGTACAAAATAATATTGAAAATTTCTAATTCCATTTAAAAGCTCTCATGAGCTTCAATATATGTTACACGAATTAATAGAATTTATAAACTTAATTATTGGTTTTAAGTACAACATTATTGTTTAATTAAAATTGGCACACTGCCAATAAAGTAATTAAAAATCAATTTAACGATGCCTATTTAAATTAGTTGGAATTTCTATAAAGCCAAAACTTTCGAAAATATCACAGCCTTGAAGCGTGCCACTTAGTGATCATGACAACGAAAACAACCAATTGACATTTGAATTTCCGGTGAAATGAAACCGCTCATTAAAGGTTGACTTGCAACAATGCAATTATAACTGTTATGGAGCTGCAGTTTTCTACGTGTATGTGCAAACTCTGTAGTCTACTCAACACTACTCATATATAACTGCATGTGCTGAAAGTTTTCAGTTTTCACTTCATCTGCCAGTTTAAACCGTCCTTGCTCTAATTTTTCAATTATTTATAGTTACGTAAGCAAATGAGTGTATATGTAGTGTTATTTGCTGCAATCCAGTTGAATATGTAGAGAGATTCTCGTGAAAAAGTATAAGCTTTCAAAGTTCGTTTTAATGCTTAAGCGGTGAGTTTAATGAGCTTCGTTTGTGCTTTATGTATCCAGGGATGGTGATTAATTTGCCTCAGGTTTTTTCTACAAATCAGTTTAATCTACTCTTTCGAATATTAACAGCTCATAAAAAATTATGGCCAAATTTGTCAAATAGAGCTACGAACTACTGTCCTATCTTCGTTTTGCTTTCAATAAGATTATTTTTCTCCTAGTTTGCATATCCAGAGTATAAATTTTTTTTAAGTAGTTGGCGAATCTCTTAACGGAGACTCAGTTGAGAATTAACTCGCGATTTTTCCAAATCTTTCTTTTTTCGATTGTAGGTTAAATACTTCTTTCTCTTTTAGTCTTCGAAGCGACAATATTGCCCTATTTAATATTTTTAGTTAGTTCGACCCTATAACGAAAGTAGAACCGCAAACAGGATGTGTATTTTGTGTCTCAGCACAAGAAAATCTACAGTATTTGCATAAAGGATCGCATTCTGGAAGTGAGTTGTTTATTTTATAGTACCGGCAAGAAATAAGGTTTCTATTGGAATGAAGCTAGGTTAGGTTACGAGGTCGATGCTAACACGAATCTCAGTTGAACGCTGGTCCGTTGTAGTACCTAAGACTCCTATATAATAGATCATAATCGCCGAAGTGCTTTGAGTCTATCACAAATTTGTTGAGACCGGAAATGTCAGTTTTGGTTATGTCTTCTGATTTGCCGAAGGAAAGACTACCGAAATGTCTTAGCCTCAGTCTTGCAAAGTCTGGTCAATGTTGGGAAAAGTGCCGGGATGTGTCTTACCCTGCTCCATACAACTTTTACAAATAGCATCCGGCAAGGTTTTTAGCCTAACCACGTGAATACCTATTGGACAATGTTCAGTAAGAGCTGCTTCGCCAGCACCTTCTAAGCACACGCGAGGTCCTTTGGTAACTGGTATTAATAATATTGCGCATATCAACTTGTGGAATGTCGATGCTCTCGAATTAGTACAAGTAAGAGTTAAGTAGCGTCTATAAATTGAGGATACCACGAATTCTGAACTTTTCTTAGTTCGCGTCTGTTGTTTTCTTTCAAAGCTATATTTCTTAACTAATATCACCCCTTAATCCCGCAGTACCACACAATTTCGTAACTAATTGGCTTAGCAGCCGGGTGGATTTTCATTGAATGTTGCTAATACTTGTACATAGGCGAGTTCACAAATATGTTGGTGCGCATGCAAGCCATGCGACTTAAGTGCCTTTGAAGCGTTCGCCTACATTTGCCACATGCCATGCAATGTAAATGCAGCCGCTTGCAGTTTTCATATTTGTAAATCAGCAGCGATGACATACCAAAAGAGGCAAAGCAAATCACGCAGATAGACAGTCGCCGTGAACCACAGGCGAGGTGAGCGGTGTGACAACCTCAGGAGAAGTTTATCAGTTCGACAGCGGTGACGGCAGAAATTCGATTTGAGCCAGCTTTGTCGCAATCATCAATAATGCCAATGATGATGATGATGATGCAAGCAGCAGCTGGCAGTTGTGCAGCAGCCGCAACAACGACTAAGCAGCCATAATGGTGATAGTAGAAGGTTTCCTTTTTTCGAGTCGTTGGAAAATTTAACGGCAATGGCAGCTGCTGGCATTGCCATTGCATCAGCTGTCAATGCTTGGCACACTGATGACGTGCAAACACACACAACAGACGGGGCAAAACGCAGCGCTGTTGTGCAGCATTGGCAATGCGTTGCCCGTGCAACGGGGCGTATGAGTAACATATTTGCACAGTTCGCTTCAGAGGCAAGCACATAATAACATAGTATACATATTTGTATATATACATGTATAGATGTATGTGTAGGCGCTTCTACTACGCTATTAGATATATCATAAAAAGCCACCTTAACTTGCACTCCAATGCAATTTGCGAGGTTAGCGTTGATTAGAGGGAGAAACACATATTAATATATGCATACATATAGCTGCCAGCGCCCATATAGTGAAGCAGTCGGTGGATATCTATGCCAAACGGAATATGTGCGCAATGAATTTATATCGAACGAAAAAATATAGGTTTTAGAAAGCTACTAAATACATTGGGTGTGGTAGCTTTTAAATCTTATTGCCATGATATTTAACGAAATACAATTTAATTTTGATACAAAAAACTTTAACCTCGGCTAGACTGAAGCTATAATACCCTTCACAAGTTCAAGTTTTCTAACAAGAACTTGGTATTCAGTTTGTATGTAACCGATCTGAACACTTTCTTCGGAGATTATATTGTTGCTTTGGAGCATATTTCATGCCAATTTCATCAAAATATCTTGTCAAGTAAAACAAAAAAAAAAAATCCTTACAAAAAAGCTATTGTGTTCGTTTAGTTTGTATGGCAGCTATATGCTATAGAGTCCGATGTTCCGCGGTTCTAACAGTTTCTTGGGGAGAAAAGAACGTGTACAAAATTTCAGATCGATATCTCAAAAACTGAGAAACTGGCGCGCGTATATACACCCAGACAGACATGTTTAAATAACCTCAGTTCGTGACGCTGTCGTTTGGTGTACAATTTTGTTGAGCAAGGGACAGTGGGAGACCATTAATAAGTTTTCAGAGATGGAGTTGCCATGATTCCACAAGTATCGTTCCGCTTAGCATTTCGGGAAGAGTTGCTGAACTACTTTGCGGCGCATTTTGAGTGATGATTTTAATTAATTTCCACGTATTGCAATTAATACAAAAATAATTGAAGTCGTCGAAACAGCTCGTTTTCTGGGCCTACCGTTAGATGACTTCGATGACAACTAACCCGAACCTCGCCAGCCATGCGTGGATTACATAATCACTACAACAACAACAACAACCAATATCATAGATATTAAATGATATACAAAGTTTGATAACTGGAATTTCTTAAAAAGCGCCAGTACATTTAAGTAGCGACGAGATACGACATGGGTTGGCTTGCGCAAACTTAATTAAGCTCCACAAAAAATAATGTTGAAAGGAAAGTTTGGAAAACTTCTTTCATCTTGATATTTTTATTACATATTAAGGGCTTTTCTCAAATAGTTCCTCGTACCGGCCTTACTTCATATGTAGAGCTAGTGTCCTCTTATCTGTAACTTTGAATCTGCAAAATAATATAATATTTAATTTTTATTTTTATTTACAATTTATATGCATATACGATGAATGCATGTATGACACGAAAGTAGTGCATATTACGAGCAAGTGTACGATAATAGCAATGCGTGGAGATGCGCTGCGAACTAATTAAAAACTTCAATGTTGATGACAAATGATGTCTATGCTAGTTTTAAGTAAATAAATAAAGTCACACTTGCACTTACGCTCTCAAATTTATCTTTGTTTTTCACATGTTGCGCTATAAATCGCGATCCCTCGATTGTCTTCTCCATTTCGCGCATATACGGCTTGTCAAAGGTCGGACTCAAGTCGGCATGACAACAGCCGGGACTGATATCCCCATTGCCCGATGGACTGAAGAGGTCATCATCGGCGCCGGGCAGTGGCAGTGCTGAGGGTAGGGGCGGATCACCAAAACAGGGCGCTATGCCGCCCGCGGCAGCCAAATCGAAACGATGTGAGGCAGGAAGTGCTGCAATGAAATTAAGTAAAAGATTTGTATATAATTTGAATTAAAATTTTTCAATAGAAATTTTGTTGCATAATAATAATAATAATAGTGTTAATTTTGAGATCAATATTAAAATAAGATATTAAAAAAGGTTTTTATATAACAAACTTACGTTAGACTTTATGGTCTAAATTCGTTTATTGCAACCCCAAAACAGAGACCGTAAGTTCGCTACAATTTGTATTGTATCTTAGAAATCTTTGTAAATGAGTAAATCTAAAAATCTTTAAAGAAGATATGCCTCTTATAAAATACTCCACAATTAGTCGAATAGGGTTTCTACCTGAGATTGTGAAGAAGAGAATAAACTGTTTTAGGTGTAAACAAAATGATCGCTGGCTCGTTGTTGCGGAGCTTTACGAAAACCAGTAGAATTTACCTACTTAAAAGCTTAAGAGGACAATGGGTTTGCACTAATATGGCACCCTAAGATTGTAAGATTTACCGTCACACTACGGAAGTGAAAAATATGTATAGAGCTTTTGTGCTGTCACATTTACTCGTGATGAGCCTTCTAGCTTACACCAATACGACGAGTCTGTTATACCAGTAAGCAGTCATAGATCATGAGACATGTTTTTAATTCAATTACTTTGATTTAATTATAACATTATTATATACTAGTATACAGTGCTTTAACAAAGATTTTGAAAGTGATTTTTATTGACGTGAAACAACAGATGCGAGTTAGTTTTTGTTTGGAAAACCAACGTATTCACACGAGTGACTCTAAGTTTAATGTCTAAAGATATTAAGTTTCGTGGCCCAAAATATTTGAAAAATCGATGGTACTAAGGAACGAATTTGGTTGCTAATTTTAAATGAAGTTCAATAAAAAAAATATGAAAATAATAAAAAAATTGACGAAACATATTTAAAGAAGGCTTTGTGTGTAGATCCGCTGGTGTTGTTGAAAATACTGAAACACGCTGAAACACGTTGAAAACCGTTGATAACGAATTTCACAACATTTCCAACATACAACACACGGCACGTTAAATGCAAACATCGATGTTGAGCTCCACTAATTAAACGCACAGCTAAGATATGTTATCCTAGAAACCCTTGTACATACCTTTCTAAAATGTTTTACAACTCTTCTCAGTAGAAGATGCAATATTTTTCTTCACTAAACTTCTTGCATTTTTTCAAAGGCTAAAACCTACCACGCGCATTTTTTACATTTCGCGAAATGCGCATTCTTCGCTGTACGCAACCAATTAGAAAGATCCAAGAGTATTCGGATGTTGCCATATTACAGTATTAAGATTGCTGTGCAACATGACTGCGCGCAGGCCATATCAAATTGAAGCCTTCGAGGTATTATAGTAGAATCAAAACACTTTCTCAGCAAAATGCTGGTGCACAGCGAAGGCAAAGTAACGTGAGCAAGCAACACGAAGAAGCACGGGAATAAGCATGTGTAATGCTGCCAAACGCGTTCGTTATGTGGGAGCTTACGGAAAAAAAGAAATGGAAAAACACATTGCAGTAGCCCTTCGAATTACTTGGATGCACGATATGCATGCTGAGCTGGTGTGCGGCGCGTTTGAGCAAACGAGTGCGAATCAAGTAAATTGAAAATTTTACAATTTTCTAACGGAAAAAAAGCACGATGATTTCAAACAACAACAGCAAAAAGGGAAAAAGAAAAGCAATCTAAGTGCTATTAAAGGCTAAGGCAAAGCACAGCGCGTAATGGCAACTAAAATGGCGCAGAATGAAATAAAGCAGCTGAAATTGAAAAAAAATACTCACAGTGCGTAGTAACGTGGCTAGAAATGTAAAATTTTAACGCTGCGTGCGATTTGCAATGATTTATTTTCACTGCAAGTGAGAGAATGCTTTACGAGTAGTTGGCAACAGTGCGAGTGCATGCAAGTTCAAGACGTAGAGTAGGATATGTTCTGTCATGTCAAATTTAAAACGGAAATTTCACTGGAATGTTGCATGAAAAGTTACGCACATATAATATTTAGTTCGGAGGAATGTGCGTATAAAAGAATTATATGCGTTATAAAATATAAAAAATAGAATGCGCATAGTTATACATATATATCAGGGGTTCATTAGTCTCCGATATACGCTTCAGTGTTTTAATTATAAATGCATCGAACTTTATTGATTTGGTTATGGAATAGGTTCTTGAAGAAATATAAAACAATTATTTGTACTCGACCTGATTTTTTATGTGGTATAGAAGTCGTGTAGTTGAGATAAAAGACCTACTAGAGAGTGAACAACGATGTGGGTAGATTTAAGGTATTCCTTAGGTACAATACAAGTATATATACAAATATATCTTGGGTATTGTAGAGTATAATAATTACGTAATGTAATACATATTTTTTCAACTCAAAGTATATAACTTGGATATGCATTGATAAATGTTTTAGCAAACCCGCGAATTGACTAAGTTATGAATTATAAAGTTTTAAAAGTATTATGTTACTCACCTTATTGCACATACTGCAAAAGGTTGCATAAGCAATTTTGTTTATTGAAAACTATTTATTTTTTCTCTAAACAAATTGATTTTTTTACAATTAGTGGTTGAACTAGTAATAGGAAATTAATTAACTTTTCCTGTAGGCTGTAAGTTTCTGATTAATTAATGGCTAATTTGCAGATATGCTATTAATTAGACATAAATTGGAATAAAATATAAGACTAAAGTTGTCAACTTAAAAATGCAAGCGGTTAGAAAAAAAAACTACTAATTGAGTAAATTAAGGCACTTTCTTAATTACGTGGTTGCATAAGGATTTTTAACCATTCATTTTATATAGGACATTCAAAGCCATTTAATTGCCTAATTGCGTCTTAATTTAGTAAATTAGTTAACAATTTAATCGATGAACTACTTAAATTTTTGGCGATGCAGCTTCATCAAAGACCAATGTTTATCGATGGTATGGTGAATTCAATCGAGGTCGTGAAGATGGTCCAAAATTAGTTGTTGTTTTGGAAACTACTGATGCTGTGCGATATTGCAAGATCGTTATATGACCTATCGTGAGATTTAGACAACTATAGACATTATTGAGACTAGCACGCAATTAACATTGGATCCCCAACAATATTTTAATTGCTCAAAAAAAAATTGCTCGTGTCGATTGGTCGAGAGAAATGTTAAAAAATGAGATAGCGGTGGATGGATGTTTCAAGATGAGCCGTATTCAACAAAAGTGTTCACGCACGAAGCACTTCCAAGCAAATGTTTGCCTATTTTTTCGAAAAAACTACACATGACGCAATTATACCACTAGAACAACGCGGACCAGTAAACTCTGAGTGGTACACAACCATTTGTTTACCACTTATCTTCGAAGAAATAAGGAAAACCAACCACCGAAAACGGATCACTCATCACGACGAAAATACGAACTCTCACACGTTAACAAAATATGAACTCAAAACATGAATTTGATGAGTCATTCACCGTATAGTTCTGACCTGGTACCGAATGACTTTTTTTTATTCCCGTACGTTAAAAATAAACTAAGAGGTCAACGTTTATCGACACGTGAACGCATGTTTTGGAGATACCTCAATCAGAGTGACAAAAGTGCTTCGCCGTTTGGTTCGAACGCATGCAAAAGTGTATAGATCTTAATAGAGAATATTTTGAAAAACAACAAAGCAATTTTCGACGATTAATATTTGTTTTTGTTTTATAATCCCGAAATATAAAAGGCAGTGTATATAAATTTGTTATGAAGAATAGTCAAATAAATCCCCAAACTTATTTCTGCTATTAATGAGCGTTCCCTTAACTTTATTCATTACACACAAAGTAATCATTCTTAATTTGCATACCAGCTGTAGTGGAAAATCACAGAGATAATGCATAGTTTCGTGAGCATTATCGAGATAAAAAAAGCTGGAATATTTTCGCCAGCGGAAAACTTTTAATGGCGCACAATTAATTTGACAACGCGCCTTAATAGATAAAAATCGCTGTTAACTATGTAACCGAAAACATTTGGCAACTGAAACTTGTGCTACAAAATGCAAATAAAATATAAAAAGTTAAATAGTTTCATGAAAATGACAACAAAGTCAACAAAGCGCATGACGCTTAGCGAATGTGGCATGTAAACTCGTACTTAATTTAAATTCTTACGCAGCTGATAGACTGAAAGAGCGGAAAAGTGAAAGAGCGAAAACAAAGGAGGCAGTGAATGAAACTCAACAGCAAAGAGCTATGCAGGCACTAAGCGCGGGAAACTTTCATAAATTTACGCCAGATTAAAATCTGTAAAGAAATAAGGTAATAAAATATGCGACAACAAAAATAAGTCAAATGAAATGAGTTGAAATAAGACACATAGAGAGCGCGAAAGAGAGGCCGACAGATGAAATGAAGAAAAGTAATAAAATGTGAAAAGTAGAATTAGAGCTGGAAATCTTACACAGCCGATGCGCCATTACTCAAGCGCTGAGGAGGTTGAGCCGAACAAGCGGCTGTCAGCAATGAAATGTGACAAAAGTTTGTGGCAGCCACAATGGTGGCAAACGGTGAAGAGGCGACGGGTGCTAGTGCAGGCGGCCGCGACAATAGTTATTGAAGTTTTCTTTTTTTGCTTGGTGGCAATTGTTGGGAAAAATGCAACTGAAACTATGAGAAAGCACGAACACATACACACATGCTTTTAGCTAGACACGCTAGTGTCGAGTAACTGCCGAATGCGCAGCAGCACAGAAATGCCGTTTGTTAAATGGTTACTCAAGATTTACACAATATAAAGCAATCTAAAGATATTAACGGGGTCTGTATTAAGTGTTATGTGGCGTTAGAGCAAGACTCGGTTGCTTGGCACGATTGTCGTGCGTGTGTGTCGTAAGAGAAGTAGCCTAAGTGCATTGCAACATGAAAAATGATTGTCGAGCAAATTTATGAAGCAAACTTACAGCAAAGGGGATATTAAAAATGAAGCAGTATAACGTAATAAGTGAAAAATTGGAGTAGACGTAAAAGCCTTGCAAAGACATCAAGACAGCTATCGGCTAAGGATAAGGCAGTGACCAAAGTTGTGCAGCAAGACAGCCGACGGAGTTGTATAAAGTTGTCGAAAAGTGAGTGGTTTTATTTGGAGTGCAGTGATCCATGTGTGCGCGCGCTCGATAGTGTGTGTGTGTGTGTGTGTGGGTGAATGTGATAGAAGGCATTGACCAGTGAAGTCGAAAAAGTGTTGAACATGATAGCAACAAGAAGTTTCTATTACATCGGCACATTAAATGTTTCAATGGAAAATGTTTGTGGGGTACGAGTTAATTGCCTTTAGTACGAGTATATAGGGAGCAACAACCGAGTGTGTTTGTATGTTGCGGAATTTATGTACATATAGCATTGTAAAGTGCCTGCAGTATATTCTGAGATTTTCTTATAACTCATATGATTTTTTGAGCGTAAGTTATGCATAACAGCTATCAACTTTCCAACAAAACTTTATTATTGCAAAAGTGATAGTTTCATATATAAGCTGCCAACGCGTTAGAGTGTAGCGAATCAAACAAACTATACCAAACAGTTTGGCATACACAAGCTTTGTTTAGCGAAGAAATGCTTCTTTCTGCGCCAATTACATATTAGGGATTCCTTGATTTAAGCCTCGCTCATGCTATTCGTTTTCCATAAACATTTATGTTATACTCTATTTCATGTCCTAAGTTTCTAAAATAACAATATAAAAAGCTTTTTGCTTTCTTCTGCGACGGTAATTTATCGTTTCAGTGATTAAGAATGGTAAAACTGGTCTAAAATATGTACAAATTGCAAGTTCACTGTTCAGCACTGAGGAAAGCGTTTATACCACGACATTGCATACGCTTTTATATCAAATTCAACTCGCCAACTTTGTTGTAAGTAAAATTTTTTAAAAGAGAGTAAAGCTCAACCATAGTGAGCAGAGAAAAGAGAAATTGCTGACAGATAGAGATAGACCTGAAGAGATGTTTCGCCTTTTAAAAATGCATGCATACAATTGTTTCGCTTAGAATAAATAAAAAAATAAAAAAGGGGTTTCCAAAATTACATCTTTCTACAAAGTTAATGAAATCTTTCTAGAATCTTAGCAACCTATTCGTGGATTAAGAGCAAAGCTGTAGCATTTTTATATACTGTTAAAATTAAACGATTTAGGTTGCCTTTTATATTTCGGGATTAGAGACCAAAAAGCCAATATCTATAATCGAAAATCGCATTATTTTTTTTTTTTAATATTCTCCATTAAGATCTATATACTGTTTCATGCGTTTGAAGTAATTGTCGAAGCACTTTTGCCACTTAAGCGCCCTCTCACGTGTCGAAAAACGTTGCCCACTTGGTTGTGTACCACTCAAACTTACTTTTCTGCGTTGTTCTAGTGATATGATTGCGTCATGTGTAGTATTTTCGAAAAAATAAGCAACCATTTGCTTGAAAGTGCTTCGTGCGCAACAATTTTTGTTGGATTCGGCTCATTTTGAAACACCCATACAGTCGATTGCTGTTTACTTTTGTGCTCATACGCGTGAGTCTCCGGCTCATCACTTATCACGATGTCATAGACATGTTTCAAAGCACCGCTGTTTAGTTTTTTAACATATCTCTCGACCATTCGACACCCCCTTGTTTTGAGCGATTAACGAATTGTGTGAGATCCAACGTGAAGAAATTATTTTTACAGGCAAATATTCAGGTAATATTAAATGTATGCTGGTTTCAATACTACCTATGGTTGTTTTAATCTCATGCTAGATCATATGATGATCTTGCAACATCAGTTTGCGCAAAGCTTCAATAGTTTCCAGGACAACAACTGATTTTGGACGACCTACACGAAATTCGTCTTGATGCAATCTACGATCTCAATTGAATTCACCAAACCAGCGATAAACACTGGTCTTTGATGAAGCTTCATCGCCAAAATTTTAATTAAGTTCATCGATGCTTTGGCTGCTGAGTTAATCCACGTTGTACAAAATAAATGCGCAATTTGTTGCAATTTCATTCCACTTTTTGGCCGAGATGAATATTTTAAGTTACTGTAAGCAACACGAATAGCGCTCGTATGTCAAAACGTTCTGAGTATGTGCAGCATCAAAAATGTTAAACTTAACAATAAAGTTGTGAGTGGCCAGATTGCAACACTCGGGTTGCCAAATCCTGAAATATAAATGGCAACCTACGTATAAGAGTAGTTTCTGTTAAAACTTTAAGGGATGCAGACGTACAATTGATCCGCTTAAAAAAAAAAAAGTATAACTTCCACAAAGTTATTGGCATCTTTCTAGTATCTTAGTAGCCTAGTTTTAGATATAGAGCAAATTTGTATAATTTTAAATGCATAGTTAAAAGTAATGTTAAAACACACTAACGCACACAAATCCAATCTGTTATTATATTCAAATATGTGCCTAGCCACTTCAGAATAATCACTTTTTTCCCGCAAAGTTCATACTAATAGTAACTTATTTTCATTGATAAAAAATGATAACTTATTACAGAATTTCATTTGAGTGAGATTTAGTATTTTCAAGATGTGCTCTTAAGAACTTACCTGGTATACCATAGTCGCCACTAAATCGTTTCGAATCGTAATTCACGAATTTATCCACATCCGGTGGCAAATGGAAGACATCGGTAAGCACTTCGGGCGGTTGATCGTCCTCGTTGGCTTCGTTTTTCTTCGGTCGTTCGATGCAAAGGAGTTTAGGTAAAATTTGTATAAATAAACGCTGTACCCATGGCGCCATTTTATGTGTCACAGGCGATCTATAAAGAGCACGAGAGTAAAGTGCAGGAAATATTAGCAATACAAAATTTACTTTTGCTAAGCTTATAAATTTTTAATACATACCTAAAGTTAACATTAAGCACCGCAATGGTGACCACAACCGACAGCGTTACCAACATCATAGTGAAGAGCAAATATTTGCCTAATAACGGCACCGTCAGCGATGTTGGCGGTATAATTTCGGCGAGCAGGAGAAAAAACACCGTCAACGATAGCAAAATGCTGATACAAAGTGAGATCTTCTCGCCGGAATCGCTGGGCAAATAGAAGACCAATACCGATAGGAATGAGATACCTACACATGGTATGATTAGATTGACAGTGTAGAAGAGTGTTTTGCGACGCAACGTCAGATTGAAAACGATATCCAAATAGGGCTCTTCACAACAACTATAGAATTTCTCATTACGCACGGCCGGCACACGCATTATATCCCACTCCACAGATATGTAGTAGTCCTGCAGATCGATGCCCACTTCTATGTTATCCGAATCCGCTGTTTGCTTCAAATGGCGCAGATCCACCTGTTTAAGTAGTAAAAAGCGAAAGTAACAGTAATTATAATATAATAACTTATTAATTGCATAAATTTTTGAACTCGATTTTATTTATTTTTCTAACAAATTGAACAATTTTCGATGGAAAAAGTTTAATCTATGGTCGCGTTGAAGTAGAGAACATAACCGACACCCAATAATTTAGGGAAAGTTAATTTTTTAAAGTTAATTTATAACAGATGACTTCAAAAAACTTGATGTATATTATATATATTTGACTTGAAAAGGCTTGTTTAAAAAAGCTTAAAGCTTTCTACATGTTAAAACTTGCCAATTGAAGAATGTACTAATATCAGTGAAGTACCTGGACTCCATTTGAATGAATGAGGAAAGACATTAACCAACTTAAAATATGGCAAACCTTGCCAATAATTGCCAATCGCAACTAAAATTACATATGTAATCTTTAACATTATGTAGAAAGCTCAGTTTCGTTTCAGCACATCAAACTTGTTGACACCGTTCTATCAATGTGATGCATTCAGATTTTCATGTCGATGCTCGTTACATCCATCTGTTGCATGCCGTTTTAAGACATTCAACTCATAAATTTCACACCTCCCACCTACTTACTATTTCTTCAACATCTCCACGTTTATTTGTTTATTTTTGTACAACAACTTAAATGTTGGTAATTCCTCAGGACTAACAACAAGTGTGGCTTGACTGCTGACTGACAGAGGGAATTTTTTATGCCTTCAATTCATGCGCTTCAATTTCGTTGATATCCTTCGTGGCAGCGAATACTGCATTGTCATGCAACGTTGCATGCAACACATACGTAGACTTAGGTACTTGTAGTTATGTGTTTGTGTGGTTATTCGGCAAGCGACAGTGGCAAGCTCGTGCGCCTGCTGTGTTGTAAAAATATGATAAGGCGATAATCTTTTGACTGTTAGCATTTGTCATGCCCTTGTTGGCGATCCGAGGCAGTGAAATAAGACGAAGTACACAGGGAATTATTAAAGGAAAAAGCGTGAAAGGATATGTTGCATACAAAGATGCGAAAATGCTTGAATAAATGTGAACGGACTTTTTAAATATCACAAATATGGTACAAACGGACAGGCGTAAATACTTTTACTTGTAGGGTTTTCATACTATACATTTTTGTAGAGAACCTCGGTTTGTTAAATCGAATATATGATTAACTCTTCAATATTTTCTATGTGTAGAAAACTTCGTGTTATCTCTAACATGAATAAGTTTAAGACAAGAAAAGCTACGAATGAATATGGAGTCCCCGTCGAGACCTTAAATAGTGCTTACCGTAATGTATACAGCACTGCTAATTCTTGGTTGATATTAGTTAAAGGGGATAGCAGTGGGGTAAAATGGTCTGGCACTTGCCACCATTTATCCAGCTATAATATCCAAGCTGTCGTAGATTTAGTTAGCTAGAGAACTCCAATATTTATTGCTAATAATAGAGAGAAGCGAATCGAACAAACTATACCAATTGTCTTATGTTTATGAAATAAACAACAACAAATTTTTGTATTTTTATTTTGGGAAATAATTGTTGATTTACTAAAGTAAAACTTGTTTAACACTTATAAAGAACAACTTGGTAGCATTATTAACCTCTTTACTACTGTATACTCTGTTGTAACGAATTTAATTCATTAAATTTGTTGTTGCTTTTACTTTTAACATTTTTGAACGTTCATACTATACTGATATACTGATTTATACACTCAGTGTTGCTCATACAACATGGTGCACTTTATGAATGCTTAGTCAATGGCGCACAAGGTATAAGGTGACCATATTTGTTCCGGCAAAATCCGGACGTTTTGTTTTAGTCATCGATTTGTCCATATTATAACTCACTGAAAATTGCGACACATAATAGGTGAGAAAGCAACACAATTTTATTCAATTCATTATTTTTTTTTTTAATTTCTAAGCCCGGGACGCTTAACTCGAAATCCGGACTGTCTCGGCTAAGCCGCGACGAATGGTCAGCTGAGTAAAACTTATACTGACCTTTAATAAGAACACAATCTTTTAGGATTTATAAAAGTTGTAATGCATTTTACAGTTAGTGCGCTTCTTTGTGCCGATCAGAAAAAGACATTGAGAACGCCAAGAAAATGCTTAAATTTATTTGATTGTAAGCACACAACGCACATGCAAACACACACATACATATATGTTACCAGCTGCCGGTTTCCATCAAAAATTTGTCAAAGCGCAAGTTTATTCGTTATTTTTTTCTGTTTTCTCAGCAAACTTATTGCTTCATCAGTCAATAGTTTTTTTGTTCTTTGTTTTTATTGATGACTACTGTTGTTGCTGTTGTTGTTACATGTATTTTTCTCAACTTATTTTGAAGACAGTTTCAAAGCGTCTTCTTATTTCACTTTACTACGGGAAAATATCAAATACATATACATCTACATATGTATGTATGTATGTATATATTTGTGTGTGTGTTTCATTGGTAATTGGTTGAGTTATTTGTAAGAGTCGATTGTATTGAGTTTCCAATCAAGTTTAATAGTAAATTGATTACGCTGAGCTCATCGTAACATTTATTTGATTGAACATTTCGGATGAAAGTGTAATAGTCCATTTATTTGTTGACATGTTACTGTACATTTTGCAAATAATATATACTGTTATATTATATAATATATGTTTGTATATAAGAATATTTTAGACTTTACTAGTACATTCTAAATTGAGCGTTTTAGGATATAAGAAGAAGAAAGCAGAAGCTTACAACTATTTAACTATTGAAATATCGAGATCACACTTTACAAAAAAATTAATTGGATTTATATGCAAGCAGTTTAAATAAATCTGTCCGAGTCAAATCTGATATTTAGTGTATATGCGTTGAGTCTCTCATATTCAAAAAAAAAAAGAAGCTATTAAGTGAAAGTTTTTCTAGTATAGGCACAACTATACGTCGTCCTACCCTAGATTATAAAGCAGAGTATATTATTATTGCATAGACTTTATGGTTGCTATAAGCATTCTCTCAAAGCCGTAAGTGAGTGGTAGTGCTATTCCCATTGCTTTGCATATTTTTGTACTTTCTTCAACATATACATATATACAGATTTAGTATAGATAAACCTAACATATAATAGTTTAATAGCTATCGGACATAATAACAAAAAGTGCCTTAATGCATTTTTTATAAATGAGTTGGCACAGATATCTTGATATCTATGAAAGATTTGAGCATATGTATCTTTTATAACATTTTACAACCTGAACTCGGTATATTAAGTTTGCCATTAAGTTTGTAACACCCAGAAGAAAACGGCGGGGACCCTAGAAGCTCATCAATACGAAAAGTTTTATCTGTGTAATCCGTGAGACGTCGTCAAGAAACCCTCGAGCGATTATTGCGATTATTTTCCTATACAAAGTCTTGCAATTGCATAGAAGATGTTTTATAGTATTTTCTTTTTCTACCTTCTGACAGCTCCTACGATATAAATCCCAAATAGTCGACAAGTCCCCTCAAATGACATCATCTCAACCACGATATGGACATACCGGGATAACATAAAAGCGTTAACATTTTTCTGGGAACATGAAAATTGCTATCGTGGCTTTAAAAGTCTATAAAAATTATTTTATGTGCATACCAAAGTCTGGACGCCATATCTTTGACAGCTGATTATTACGTTTTTCCACGCTTTGGATACGATTCATGGCACGCTAAGCACTTGGTTGAACGTCGATTGGATTCTGGTGTGAAATGACATTTTCGGCACAAAATTTTGGGTTTGGTACGATTGAACAGCTGCAAATAACTCCCGGAAGTTACAATTCATTGTCATATTTTGTCGATTGTGAGCTCGTAATAGAGAGGGAGTTCAGAAATTGACTTGCGCTGGTGGTTTTCCCTAGTATTAAGTAAAGTTTTTGACTAATTTTATTGTAATCAAATTTATTGCCGGCTATTCAATTGTGGACTCATGACAGAACTTCAAGTTGGTATAAAGACGACTTCGGTCATATCTATTTTCAAATGATAACTAAAGTAATAAAAAATTATATTAAATATTATGATATGAAGCAACATTCTTTAGATATTAGACACAATGATTTCTGGTTAAAAAGAGTAATTATATTTTCAGAAATCAAGTAATATTTTATGTGATAACCCGTTATGAAAACAACGTTCTACACCATTATTAAAAGCAGTAAAAACAAGCTCAATAAAACACTTGTATAATATTGTAAATGTGTATATGTCTATCAAGAAAAAACCATTACAATACAAGAAAAGTAAGTTAATAAAAAACTGTTACAACAGATGTGAATAAAAAGCAATGAATAAAATTTTTTTTTTTTCAAAACCTTTGTTTGAAGTTTGCTCGGTCTCACTTTTTATCTACGCCATTTTTTGTTACTTTTTTATTGTAGCATAATTTCTTTTGTGCTTCGACCACTCCATATTTTTTTATCGCCCAGGCAATTGTAAATATCATTTTCAGCAACGCAACAGTTGCGGCCTGCCCCACATGTTACACAACACCTCGCATCCTATCCAGGCGCTTTCATAAAAACTCATTTCAAATCACTCACATTATTTCTCAGCTTTATTTCTTTTGTTGTAATATTTTGTGTTTTTTTGCACTCTCTTTCTTTGTTATAATTTTTCAGCACACAGCACGACACTCTCGTGTGGCCTATGACTTTTTCACTTCATTTCATCTCATTTCATTTCACTTTGTCATTTTACGCCCCTCTTTAAATTCACTCTGTCTGACATCATTGACATTTGTCTTATTGCATTCTCTCACACAAATGTCCCTTGTCCCTCATTCAATTGTCTTCGTTACACTCAACCACTCCTCATTCGCACACCTACACGCAATAGCTTGAGTTTATTTGCTTTTGTGTGCTGCCATTTTATATGAATGTGATGCTTGCACACATTTTGACAGTTGGATATTTTTCAAAATGTCATTGTCATAGTACATATAATGCAGTTGTGTCTGTTACACGCACAAACACGTGTTAACACTGATGCTCAGAAGTATGTATAGAATTGTCAAATTTTACTTTTAGGCTTGAGGAGAAGTGTAACAAAAAAGAAACAAATTTCGAGCTAACAATGTTAACTAGTATTTCTATGGAGACAGGCTGCCTGCTAAATTTACTGGTTTCATAAACTTGTGAAATGAGGCAATTCAGACCAAATGTAAGGACCGCAAAAGTGGTTTGAATGACATACTGACTTCATCAATGGAAAAATTTCAACCTATGATATTTCCAGGTCTAGCTATGGTCTTGTTATGAGACAAACTTACTCGTATATTTACTATATATCCACATTATTCGAATTTCAAGAAATCATTATATAGATTTTAATACTCTTGCTGCGGAATATAAAAGTTTTGTTCACCTAACGGTTGTTTGTATCACCTAAAACTAATCGAGATAAATATAGGGCTATATATTATATATATAAATGATCAGAATAACAAGGCGAGTTGAATTTCAAGTGACTGCCCGTCTGTTGGTCCGTCCGTCCGTTCAAGCGAAAGCTTGGCTTAAAAATGAGATAACAAACGGTATCAAATTTGAACAATGGAATTAAGTGAAATCCCATATCTCGGACCTACTCGACCAATTTCAATCACATAACAACAGTAAACAAATCAAGCACCAGTTAATATACCGGGACAAAACTTAGCGCAAATAGTGCCTTTAAGGTGTGCTATCTTGCGTATAAAAATTGTCAACATTGGACCAAAACTGTTCAAACTCCCACATACCGAATATATAGACCACAGTGTGTATAGCTGACTTTTTATCGAAAATATCAGTCAATCTATAAGAAATATTACGTCAATTCCAAGGTAATCCTTTTCTTATATTGGTATGCCTGTATGTCAAAATTGCGTTGACGCGGATCAATAATTCCCTTAGCCCCCATATAATTAATATACATATATTTGACCTTCTGGCTGACTTTATATCGCATTATCGGCAAAGTGAGATATCTCAATGAAAATTAGAAAGCATGTTTTAATGATAATGATATTTGTGCCTAAAATGGATAAAATCGGGTAATTACTACCTCTATCTTCCATATACCTAAACATATATCTTATATAATAGATTCCCATTCAAGTAGATGCTAAAGGATGTAATTTCGTAGAACATAATATTAGGTCAAGTAAAAAGTTCGTTCGGTTTTTTTCTAAGAGATGGCGTTATTGTCCATAGTACTAGTGTTACGTGTCGCATCATGTCATACTATACGGCGCTGAAAACGTGTTCATTCGCGCTAAAAGTTTGTCTTTGACAGTTTTTCGATTGATTTACTCAGTTCGTTGTGAGCGCTCGTCAAAGATGGACACCAACAAAAAGAAAATTCTCTATATTTTACAATTTTTCTTCGATCAAAGCGAAAAATCAGCCAAAGCGGCTGAAAACATTAATTTAGTTTATGGGCCCGATACTGTAAACGAACGTGTAGCACAAAAGTGATTTGCTAGGTTCCGTTCCGGTAATTTCGATGTCAAAGATGCACCACGCGTCGGGAGGCCTGTCGTCGAAAATTGCGATAAAATCATGGAAATAGTGGAAACAACCGTCACGAGAGCACTTATTTAATTGCTGAGGAACTAAAGATAAGCCAAAAAACCGTTTGGAACCATTTGCATAACCTTGGATTCAAAAAGGAGCTCGATGTTTGGGTGTCACACGAACTAACGCAAAAAACATGATGGACCGAATTTCCATCTGCAAATCGCTGCAGAATCGCAACAAAATCGACCCGTTTCTGAAGCGGATTGTGACTGACGATGAAAAATGGGTCACTTATGACAACATCGAGCGCAAACGGTCGTGGTCAAAGCTCGGGGAAGCGGCCCAGATGGTGGCCAAAACCTGATTGACGGCCAAGAAGATTTTGCTATGTGATGGGCAAGGAATCATCTACTGCGAGCTGCTCCCCTATGGCCAAACGCTCAATTCGGCCCTCTACCGCCAACAACTAGACCGCTTGAAGGCAGCACTCATCCAGAAGAGGCCGTCTTTGATCAACAGAGGCCGAATTGTGTTCCATCAGGACAACGCCAGGCCACACACGTCTTTGGTGACTCGCCAGAAGCTCCCTGGCTCGGATGGGAGGTTCTAATGCACCCACCTTATAGTCCGGACCTGGCACCAAGTGATTACCATCTTTCTCTCCAAGTTTTTTGGCAATAGGGACGCAGTCTTCTACGAGAGGGGTATAATGAAGTTGGTATCTCGTTGGCAACAAGTTTACGAACAAAACGGCGCATATTTTTCTTAAATCGGACATATGTACACGAAGTTATTATCTTTTGAAAAATCAATAAAAAACCGAACGAACTTTTTACTTTACCTAATATTAGGAAATTATTATAACAGGAGTATTTCACTCAGGGAGTAAAATTTATACCCTCACGAAACAGTTCAAATCAACATGTTCAATTATTAGTTATTATAGTTAGTTATCACTTAGCTAGAGTGAGAAAGAAATGATCGCAAAAATGGGTTGTCATCGTAGTAAACTAGTTTATATCTCTCTAAAACAAGACAAGGAGAATGCTCAAATATTCCCTCTAACAAAAATAAAATTATTTTGATGGTGACTAGTTTTTGTAAAGATAGGGCTTGACAATTTAAAACCACTATAGACTGAAGTTCTAAACGTTAAGTTAAAGTAATCTCTCATAATTCGTTAAAACTTATACAAAGAAAGTCTCATGAAGATCGCAATTGTTAAATTCGTTCAAAATTTGAGATTTTTGCGAACAATTCGTTAATATTAAATTCTTGTATAAAACTCCTTTAAGTATGGCTCCTTTCGTCAGCGACTTATAGAAAATATTTCAAAGCAATATTTTATGGAAGAGTTTCAAGAATCTAAGTACTATTTATAGATATAATTATAACAATTTATAGATATAATAATCGAAATAAGAATATTGTTTCAGAAAGTACTATTAGAACAATTATTGGAAATATAAATATTAAAATAAAAAATTATTTGCAAAACTTGCACCCCTTTCAAAACTTTGCTTATGTGCTCCAATATTTAAATTACATGTTTATTATTATTATCGACATATTTTCTCCCAACTAAACTCACCATATAACCGTCGTATGTCCAAGAGCCGAATTTCATGAAACACGTCTGCTCATCGAATGGAAAATACTCGACATCGATTTCGCAAAACGATTTATAAATGGCGGGCGGCTTCCACACCACTTTGCCGGTGTGATGTAAAATTGCTTTTGTCATTATTGTCACTTCGTAATTGCCGTCAGCGCTGCAAAGAGAAAAGTGAATTTTACGGCAATTATTGTTTTGTGCATGAAAGGGTTAATATAGTTTGATGTTAAAATCATTATTTTGCTTAATTTGCACAAATAAATGCAAAATAAAGGTAAACAAGAAAAAACGTTAAATTCGGTTGCACCGAAGCTAAAACACTCTTCACAGAACTTCATTCCGATCGTTCAATTTGTATGGCAGCTATATGATATAGTGATCTAATCTGAACAATTTCTGCGGATATTACATTGTTGCCTTAAATATAAGTCATGCCAAATTTTGTGAAGATATCTCGTCAAATAATAAAGTTTCCCATACAAGTACATGATTCCGATTGTTCAGTTTGTATGATAGCTATATACTATTGTGGTCCGATATCGGCCGTTCCGACAATCGAGCATCTTTTTAGTAAGAAAAGGAGATATGCAACATTTCAGATCGATAGCTTAAAAACTGAGGGACTAGCTCATCATTCTGATCATTTATGTATATATTTTATAGGGTCGTCGACGTTTTCTTCTGGGTGTTGCAAATTTTGTGGCAAACTTAAAATACCCTGTTCAGGGTATACAAATAGAAAATGCTACTCATTTTATTTTTTGTTGGAATGTCCTTTCTTTTATCTTATATCTTTTAGGCCACACCTACTAAATAGTTTATTAGTTCATTCTTAAACCATATTCAACAGTACTTAGTTTATGCCATATAGGTATAGTAACGTTACTCATATGCCTGAACAATTAGAAGTAATGTACTAGTAGTATTAAAAATATATATATATATATATTTTTTAATTTCTGTATGCTGTATGAATGACTCTGTCATGTCTTCAACGGTAAGTTAATAATTTCTTTTATAAAACTCCTGGTTCAATTTGCTAGCAGATAAAGTTAATTAGATATATTTTGATTATGAGAAGAACTGCCGTATTAAAGGAACCAAAAATTCATTCACTGGTCGAATTAGGCTACGGACTGCTGCCCAAACTCCGCGGTTCTCGAGACTTTTGTTTCGAAACTTGAAAAAATCTCTTGGAGAACAAAAATTTTAGTTGAGATTATAATGTTCTACTTGGAAGACCTGCAGAAAACATACTTTGCAGACGGGTTAAAGTGGTTGGAACACTGCTGAGTCAAGTACTTTTAAAGGCTAAATATTTAGCGAAAGCGTCGCCTTATACTATTCTTTAACTCTCCTATTCCTATATTTATGTAAGCCTGTGACGGAAGACTAAGGCTATTTGTTGTTGGACTTTAGTAGTTTCATTAAACTAGTTGTATCTAAAATGTTCAAAAACGAACAAAGTAACAGTGTTGCTAATAAAGAACTAACTGCTTCACTAAAAAATGTTGCCAAACTTAGCTCATCATCAGTAAAACTTTCAATTAAAATATTTAGCAAACACAAATGCCATTAGAGATGTTATATGTCGTACATACATCGACATCACTACCTGGCAAAAGCGCTACACTTTTAGTTATAATAGCAGAAGTTCACCACGCTACTCGGGCAATGCACCACACACCTGATATTTTGTCGGCTGGACGAGTGACGTGATCCCAGAACGTAATTCGCTGCATGTCTTTATAGGACATACGTAAAGAGCATAGCACAATGTGTCGCGCGTCCTTTCAACACGCTTTTGACACCCGTCACTAAGTGGCACATTGCAGCAGATAAAAGAGCAACTACGACCTACTTGGCAGACAGCGCAAACTTCAAAGGTTTTGCCTTATGCGATTTCGGACGATGGTGTGATTCTGCTGGCTGCAAGTCATCAATGGCGTGTGGAACTTCTAAGCTTTAGAAATGAGTTTGGTGTTAGCAATAATCACACGCCTAACCAGTTCACCTAATCTAGACTCTGGCTAGAGTTGGAGATAACCAAACAAACATACTTATTTCGTTATACGCTCCGCCACAATTTGAGTGATTTTAATTTCTTGGATCATCATGAAAATTAATTGGTGGAATTAAGCGCGAATAGAAATGGCAAACAGTAAGAAGAGGACAGAGTTGGCAACCGAGTCATATATGTGGAGCAAGAGAAGAGGCAACTTTATGATATCGCAGACAATAAGTAGCAGACGACATTGCATATAAAAACAAAGTGGGTATGGGTAGAAGTAATCTAACACACATGCATATCCTGTAGGAACTGAGAACACTTTCGAAGAAGAAGTGAAGAGAAAGAGAGACAGAGAGAGGCTTTCTAGTTAATATAGTACTGCCTGCGTTTTATAAAAACCATTCTTGTAGTTGGAGTTGGCGTCAGTTCCAGCATATTTAAACATAGCAATATACCCTCAGTAGGCCGTCTGCTTTTAGAAGGTTCCCTTCAAATCGATCAATCGATTAGGGAAGACCTTGACTTAAAATACGAATACATCGAGACGCTTTCCGTAAACCTGCAGTATCCTCTTTTACGTGAATTAATTATGGAGGAGAAATGTTTATGACGTCAAATGAAGTAAAACTGAAATTATTTTATTTACCAGGAGATATCAGATCTCAGAAGTTTTCTTTCCCTCTCTCGGAGGTTCACGTCTACAAACTGTTGATAAGGGAAAATACCTAGTGCTTATCCTTGATAGAAAACTTCCATGTAGGCCAAATATTGAAGAGAGAATAAGAACGGCATCGGTTGCCTTATATTGCTGTAGAGGAGTTATGGCGTAAAGGTGGAGAGTCTCACCAAAGGTGATGTTTCTGCTCTAAGAAACCGTAGTTAAGCCAATAATGTTGCTATGGTGTATTCGCCTGGTAGAGGGCGGTCCAATAGGCTACACTTGCTAAGAAGCATAAACGAGTCCAAAGAGTGGCTTTTTATCGTATTCTCGGGTGCACTGTGGACTAAACCAACAATAGCACCCGTAAACATTGCTGGCAGTTATATTGCTGCGAAGTGCACTCTAAGGCTTAAGGAAGGTGGGTATATGAATGGGGTCCAAACAAGGACACGCGAAATTCACTCCTCCTTCAACTGCATTCCCGCAAACTTGGATCTAGAAGGAAGCTAGGAGAAAAGGTTAGAGGGGAAGTTTTCTGTAAGGAACTCTCCGTTAATCTTATCTTTAGTTTGCCGGACTCCTTTTGTTTTCGTTGTACTGCTCGAAGACGAGACAGAGAAAATTATGTTCAAATACCTAGCACAGGTTCGGAAAAGGTACCATACATTTGAAGCGCCTAAATTCGAGTTTTGACAATTCATTACCACAATAGCCCCGAATCTTATTGCTCTCTCTATGACAAACTATTAAGCGGATTTCTATGTTATGTATATTTTGTCTCGCTTCTCTGACAAGTTTTATATTGTCCAATTTTTTCCTACATGGTATTTGCATTCACACATATCCATATACTATTGTATAAGTACACACATCAAACTTTCCGCCACTAAACAACCAGCTAAGTAGTAAGTAATGAGCAACCTAAGCTAGGAAATGCTGAAGCAAACCGAAGTAAAATATGAGCTGGCTACGAGTGAAAATTGAAGGGTGCAAATGAATGAATGAAAGTACGTGTACACGTAAGTGTGTGCGTAGAATCACAGCGAAGTGTAAATATGTGTTTTCTTGGTTTTCGAGCTCTTTAAGTGCTGCGTCACTTTGTGACGCGTCAAACGCGGTAGTATTATGGTGGCTGAGCAGTATTACACGCTTACATAGATGCGTGCATGTACAAGTATGGATGAACGTGGCTGTATATATATACATACACATGTGTGCATTTATTCAAGGGTTGCGATGTGTTTTAGCTTTGCGTTCTTTGGAGCATAATTGCTTAAACCCACCAGACGGTCTCACAACTCGCTCAGCCTTTTATGCGACAAAGTGCTTTTTCCTGTACATTTCTGTGAACGCGACGATCTTTGGCGGCAATTTCGTTTTATTTTTTCACTTATCGCTCGTGAAAAGCGGCCAACTGTAACTGTCAGACGAAACCAATTAAGCGTTCGTAGTTCTTGTATTTGGTGGTATATAATTTTTTTGAAAATATATATAAAATGTGTTTCTTTGCGAAGTAAAGTGGGAATATATCATTTCTTCAAATCTCAGCTTTTTAGTTCTTTTACTTCTGTAGTCAATACCTCATATACCCGTTGCTGGTCGGATATACTTGTAGTTTAATTTTTCGTCCAAAAGTATGTCGACCGTGGCATGCCTATGAAAAATAGGGTTATTTTGCTTTTAAAATAATTTAATGTTTGGCGTGCTTCCTTCAGTAGTATGGAAGTACTCTGCTGTTCTCATATACTTATTAAACATACTACTACTTCCCTAGCAAGTCATGATATTAATTATTGGTCACAGTACGCAATGAAACTATTTATTTTGCTGCATTATTCAAACGATAACAAAGATACAATGCTATATACTAGTACAGCGCTTCGGAGTAAAAATATGCATCTATGACCTAAAATATTCATAAATTAATAAGGTACGGACTAAATTTGATTGTAATCCATTCACGGTGTCTTCAAATAATGAACGTTGAATTCTTGCGCAAGATTTTTATACTCTTGCAACATGTTGCTACAGAGTGTAATAGCTTTGTTCACCTAACGGTTGTATGTATCACTTAAAAGTTATCGAGATAGATATACTGTTATATATATATATACATAAGCAGGATGGCAAAACGAGTTTAAATCTGAGTGAATGTCTGTCCGTATAGCCTGTAATTTCAGTAAAAATTGTTATATCTAAATAAAACTTGGTAAAAACTTTCTAGGCACCATAAGAAGATTGGTATAGGAGATGGGCGTAATCAAACGGCTGCCCCGCCCACGCCCTTAATCGAAAATCTTCAAATTGCCACCGCTAAGCTGCAAGTTAAGACGCACAACTGCCATTTGGTAGTTGGTTTGAAAATCTATAATAGTAGGCGTGGCCCCGCCACACAATAAGTTGAGTTTATATATCATCCCAACTAGTAAAGTAATATGATCCAAATAAGCAAAAGCAAATATTTCCAACCCTTCTTACGATAGTG